AACGCTTCTGGATTCTAATTATTATTGCAATTGAAACGTTTGCTTCTCTCCCTAAAACTCTGCAAACTGGATCTCCATCCTAATAATTTCCTCATTTGCGTTCCCTTCGTCATAATTTCCTTCCAATCTGATCTTTCGAGTCTCAGCCTACAGGCATAGCTTCATGCTGATGGGTCTCCGAAACTTAATTCTACTGAAGGCTTTTATTACTGTATAAAGAAAATACGTTGTCACTTCATGTACATGCCTGCATATAATATACTCTATCTGTTTATTTTCATTAGTCTTTCAAGTAAAAATATTCATATTACATGTATTTTTTAAAATATTTTACATCACATACAGCATTTTAAAAGCCAAATATAATAAAAATATAAAATGTGATACTGTTCCGGCTCCTATTATATGATGCCTTATAAAAGATTTTTTTAATTCTTAGGCTGTATGTGTTTGGTTTGAGAAGAAGAAAGAGGGAAAAGGAGGCAGGGATTTAATAAACCTAACTTTGTTTGATTTAGGAAGGCGGGAATTAAAAATAAGTTAACAATTTTATTTTTATCAAATTTAACTTAATTTTTATTTTTGCTTTGAAAAAAATTGTTATATTAGAATTTATTAAAATTTTATTTTAAGAGTATAAACCTATATTAATAAAAAATTTGAAGAAGAAATTACATTTTATCAGTGAGTCTAGTGAAAAATATAAAATTTTATACATAAAAAAATATATATTACTTTTTGTAAGGTGGTAAAATTATTTCATTATAAAGAAAGAAGGAGAGAAAGATAATAGCTAATCTTTTAATATCAAAAATAATTTAAATTATTTTAATTATTGTCCATCTCTCCCACCCCCTCCAAAAAAACTTTCAAATTAAAAGGGAGGGTTAAGAGGAGAGGAGAAGGGGAGTTACTCCTCTCTTTTTAATTTTTTAGATAGTGTTTGGTTGGAGGGGAGGGAAGAAGAAAAAACTAAAACCCCTCCCTAAATTGAGGGAATCCTTCCTCTCCTCCCTTCTCCCTATTTCTTCTCCTCCTTTCCAATCAAACAAAGCTTTAATCAAACAAGAGGTTTTCCTTCCCTCCCATATTAATCACTAACTAAACAAGGGAAAGGAGCAACTTTCCTCCCTTTTCCTTCCAAAAAACTTCCAATCAAACACATTAATATAAGAAACTTGATGGGATATTAATATATATTTTCAATGTTACATCTATTTAATCTCATTGAATATGAAGGAGAATGTTATGTAAATTTAAATTATTTTATTTAAATAAGGATAAGATTGGAAGTTTATTCTATTTTGAAAAAATTAATAACTTAATTAACCACCTCTCTTTAGTTTCAATGAAATAGTTAGAGATATCTTATAATACTTCCTTTGGACCAAAATATATATAGGGCATAATGGGAACCAATTCAGAGTATAAAAAAATGCCAGCTAAAATATTGCTCACTCCATCCTTATATATTAGATGTTTTTAATCGAATTTTCCAAAACTAATAAAAATTAATTATTTAAAAAAAGTATAGCAACATTTTATTTTACTCCTAATTATTGTAAATAAAAAAATAAATCTCTTTTTTTAAAGTAAGTTGATGAGAGTACTTATATTTTTCTCTTTTTAATTTAATAAGGATATAATAATTCATTTATTAAAAAGTGTGCCAACAATCTCTTACATTCAAAGATAACAAAAAAAAATTCTAAAAAATCTCTTAATATAGAGACGGAAGAAGTAATTTCTTAAAAAAAATATATTTTTTTAATTTTAATCTTATTAAATACTTTACATAAATTTTTTAATAATGATAATTAAAATTATAATGCATCATTTTTTTAAATAGGTTAATGAATGAAGTAGGGATGTATAGTTAACAAATAATTATAAAAGTTAATTAATATCTTATATTTTAAATTAAATAAAATTTTTAAAAAATATTTTATATTATAATACGGAGGGAGTATTGTTTTTTCCTTTTATTCCTTTATCCTAGTTGTGGATACATTCTATAATGAATAAGAAATACATTTATATAAATATTTAAATTAAATGTTATATTTAGGATAGGAGGGGAGTAATTAATTAGATCCACGCAAATATTCGGTTGGCGCTTCATGCAATAACACTATTAATATTAATCATGTCCTTGGGGGACTCCTAGCCGAAGAACGCCACGTGGGCATATTTGTCCCCTATGCTATGTCCTTAAAATGATTAGGATTTAGTACTATATATAGGAGTAAGTGAAAAGCGAGAATTTTGGGGGGGGGGGGGGGAATTGAGTGAAAAGATAAAGAAGGTGGGGGGAGAGAGAGAGAGACAGCAGTGTCTGGTCTGCAACAAATTCCAAAGGCCTCACTGTTACTTGACATCATGTTTGTTTGTCGTGCCTCCTATCCATTTCACTCCAATTAATTGGTTTGTTGAGTCATAAATTCCATTTCAGTGATTTCACCCTCCCTTAATCACTCTCTCCGCACTTTTACCAGCGAGGAAAGAATATTAAAGGAGTAAATTTCTTATCTTAATAATAATAACGATAATTGTTAGGAATGGAGAGAAGAGTAAGATTAATGAAACAACATCACATCTTGATTAAAAAATTTAAAACTCAAGTTTATGATATTTTTTTTTATTATATATTAATTATTAAACATAAATTTATCTGGAACTTTCAGCTCACATCGTCTTCTGTCCACTCATATTTAAATAACCTAATAATAACAAATTATTATTATTTTCAACTTTACTTCAACTTGGTCTTAAAAAGTTTCCAAACTTCATATTACATAATGAAGAGTGAGTGTAGTGCAGCATACTTATTAAAATGGATGCGGTTGTTGTTGAGGATGAAGATGGAGGAGGGAGAGATGAGAAAGTAGTTGGAAGTGGAAAAAGAAAAGAGGCGAGAGAGCGAGGGAGTGGTGTGTCCAGATTTGAAATGCAAAGCGGAGAAATTAATGAAGGGATTGAACGCAAATCCCACATTGCCTCATGAGGCTAAACATATTTGTTACCCTGCCATGCTAATCTCGTCCTTCTCGCCCCACCAATTTATTAATTATATCCATTTCATTCATCTCAACCTACTCACTCACTCCCTTCACTCCCACATTCAATCGCATTTAATTATATATAAGGTATTTTTTTTTCAGTTAAACCTGGTCCAAAATGGAAGATATTTAATACTTTTTTCAAATTATTTTCTTGGGCACAAGAAATATAACATGATTAAACACTTATTGCCACTCTTCATTGAAGCTAGAAAATAACTATTCCTATTGATACGTGAAATATAATTAAAAGTGTTTTATAATTTAAATTTTTAAAGTGTTTAGAGAGAGAGAGTATTTTTTAAAATGACCTGTTTAGTAAAGATAAATTATATTTTTTTTCCTTTTTCAGACCATCTCAATATTTTTAACTATTTTTAATTGATTACAGTGGACTAGTTAAAGTAATTAACAGTGAGGAGCTAATGTCAGTATCAGAGTGCTGCAGCATTGGAAAAGTTAAATATGAAGGAATAGCCATAAAAGGGTCCAACCTGTGGGGAGTCAAGACTTGTACGTGTTCCATTTAACGTGTTTGGACAATACACACTTTTTCTCACCAGACAACCCACTTTCCCTCTCTTCCTTCCTCTTAATTTTTTGCCATTGTTTTCATCTTTTTAGGTAACCCGCTAATACTCATCTCACCATTCTCTCCGTTAATCTCACTTGTTCATTGGAAAGTGCATATTCTGTAACAATATCCTTCTGTTAATAATGTGCCATTACCTCAAAGCAATGGAAATCCATGAAAAATAAGTTTTTCTTTTAACATTAATTTGAGTCCCTTTAGATACCTTTTTAATTTCAAGTGATCAGAAATATCAATTTTTATTGGGCAAAAGAACAACAATATTTATGAAGTTGTTGATCACGAGTTTTCAATACTTAAGAGTGAGAAAAAATACATGAGTGTATATAATATTATTTGAGTGAGTGTAAGGATGACTAATTCATTAATTCACTTCCATTTCATTAATTCGTGATATTAAATACTGATTGTGTTTGCTACCCGTTAACTGCTCTGACTTGTCACCTGACAATGCTGACACCTAGACAATCTCTGCATCTTCTTCTTCTTCTTCTTCCTTTCACCCTCTGCAATTGTGCAACTCTTACAGGGCACCCTTTCCAATCTTGTGAACCTTAATGGTGAAGAATAGCAGGAAAAAAACAGACATTCAGAGCCCCATCCTACACCAAAACCACAACCAGCACCCAAACCTGAAAACACAAATTCACGATTAAATAAAAACTAAAGACTCAGAATTTACAGAAATTTGATACCCAAAACCACAAATGAAACTCCCAGGTAATTAAGGCATGCCAAATCCAACGTTAGTGCCAATGAAATTTGTAAGAACCATGTCTTTCTGAGAACAGCTCAAGCAAAAGCACTGAGTGGAATTTGAAGGGTTGATAGAAGTCTCTCAAACAGTGTGCATTATGACACACTAAAGCCTATTCTTTTCCTGCCCATGTAAAATGGACTTAGATATTGGGTTCGAATCCTGAACAATGGCGGCGATGCACGGAAAGAGAGAGAGAGAGTGATTAAGAGTGAGATTGTCCATCTTAGTAAGTCAGAGTAATCAATATTGGCAAGTGATAAGCATATTTAGCTTTTAATATTAAAAATTAACAAATGTTAAATTAAATTAATAATTTAATTACTTTCACACCAACTTGAATAGTATTATGAATGCTTATATATATTTTTTATTTTAAAATACCTCTCAATTAATAACTTTGTTAATATTGTTGCCTTTTTGCTCATTCTTTTTTTCTATGTTCATTATCATTACACACACATTTTATTTATATACAAAAACTATTTCCTCTTACATTCTCATCCAATTTTCCGTTTTTCTTTAGAATTTTGCAAACTAGACAATTAGACAAACTCTCACTGGTTACAAGTTACGTAACTATTACGACACGGTGCAATTAAGATTTAAGAACCTTTGCATCGCCTTATTGACACTACCACGAGTGGGAATAATTGTTTTCAGTTTTTAAATATTAGCTCAATGCTTTCTCGTGAAAATGAAAAAAGCTCGATGCCTATACTGACCTTGTGATAATAAAAACACGTATCAATTCAGTATTTATGTATTGGTGTTTGTTAAAATTAAGATCCAGATATCACAATATATATCGTATTATATTTAAGTATTTAAAAATTAAAATATGTTTTCTTTGAATGAAATAGAAAGAAATTAAACGATAAGTAATTTTTTTTAGCTGGAAAAATAGACTTTGATCTTTGAATGATCATTTAGTGAGCAAGCTTTCATTTTTCTGGTCGAACAAAAAAGAAAGCTTTTATTTCATGCTAATATAATTAATTATTTTATGTTAAGAATTTAAATTTCTCAAATGTGAAATTTAAATTGCTCAAATGTGAAATTTAAAAATAATTTCACGAATATGTATAGAGGAAAAGGATCTGACGTACCAACAAAAATAATGTTGTCATCCCAGACAACAACCTCTCAAGCAAGAAAAAAGGTTTAATATTGAACAAGTTACATTGGATTATCATATATAACTAAGAATCATAGTATTTTAAAGAACATGTTTAAATTAGTATGAGAAAGGGCACTTTCATCAACACATTACTTTTCGCATGATTTGAGTTTGTTGTTTTATTATAATTCATTATCATACATGGTGTGCATGTCCTCTGTGTTCCTCAGACAAACCATTGGCTCTTTCTCATCGCCTTTGAAATTCACAAAAATGATGTGAGCCAAGTGTCACGCAAGGAAAATTAAAATAAAACATGAACAATGCCTTAAAAAAAAAACCAGTAAACTATTTTAAATAATAAAAAAAATAAAGCAGATTTCTAGGTTTCCAACCAACATAAACTTTCTAGAAAATTAATTAATTAAAGAGGCCTTGTGGACTTGTCGCCCACCCTCAGGGCAAATCAAACCCAACAAAAGAACTCTATTCAATCTCTGACTCGCTTGCCCTTCTGCCCTCCTCTCTCCCTCCCTCCCTCCCACACATCTCTGAATGTTTAAAGAAGCTTGTCTAGCCAACAGGATTAATCAATTTAGAACCTTTTCCCATAATCTAGATTTGTTTTTCAAATACTCTGTTATTAATATGAAACAATGCTAGTAATGAGGATTTCATTTACTGTATTTGCGCCCGTTGTGAGTATATATAGGCCAGTGTGGTGGCTTTTTATTTTTCAGTGTTGATCAGTTTTTGGTTGATTGGAAGATGAGAACAGGAGAACAAGTCGATGGCCAGCAAACCCAGTCATCATCGTCATCTTCTTCTTCAATTGATAGCAGTAATTACCCTTGTGGGACTGCGAAACCTGCAGCTTCTTCTTCTCACTCTTCCTCTTCGTGTCTCTCAAGTGTTTGTGGAAATACCAGTAGTTCCAGAACTGATTTGATCACTGACCTGAGACTTGGTCTTACCATTTCTCCTTCTCAACCTGGCTTTTCCAATTCAAATCCCAGGTCACGGTACTTTAGCCATTACCCTATTCTCTCGTAATGTGAAATAATTCAACTCGTTTGGTGCTCAAAGCTTGGCAACTTATGGGGTTCTTTTCCTGAGCTACTATGTTGTCTCTGTTACTCTGTATATAAAACCATGATCGGTGAATGATCTTTTGTGTCCGTACATGTGAGGTTCTGTTGTGGAATTGGCCTCTTCTGAAGCTAAAAGCTTGTGAATTTCATTGTTTTTCGTTTCCCCTCTTTGTTGTGCTATTGTTTACTGTAGACTTCTCTTTTTCTTGACCTGAAAGCGTGAGAATTTCATGGGTTTTCTTGTCTCAGTGCGTGTTAAATTCTGACGCAGAAATGAACTCTTGTGGATTTGTGTTCCAGGAATCATACTTCAGATTGGCCTCCAATCAAGTCCATACTGAGAAGCACTCTTGTGGAGAAACAAAACCAGTGGAGCGAAGGGCCTTCCTTATTTGTCAAAGTGTACATGGAAGGCATACCCATTGGTAGAAAATTGAACCTTCTGGCACACCATAGTTATGATGGGCTTGTCAGAGCTCTAGGTCACATGTTCAGGACCACCATTCTCTGTAAGCACTAATGGAAACCCTCATTGATTACAATCTTCCTCCTCCTCCTCTGCAGATTCTTCTTTCTTTTGTAATCTGTGACATCATGTTTAGATCAAGGAAGTTTTTCATTTCCTTTCTTCTTTCAGGCCCCAATTCCCAAGCACTTCATTCTGGAAATTTTCATGTGTTAACTTACGAGGATCAAGAAGGAGACTGGATGATGGTTGGAGATGTGCCTTGGGAGTAAGTGATATATCTCAAAATTAAACTCAAACACTGGCTTTGATCTTCTTTTTGGAAAAGGATTTTTCTTGTTCAAGCTAAGCCTGTCAATTTAATATGGTGAAGCCCCTTGAATCAAATGTGACAAACACTGATTATTTCTTAATGCATTCATCACAGGATGTTCTTGACTAGTGTGAAAAGGCTGAAGATCACCAGAGCAGACAGATGCTAGCTAATCTAATCCATAAAACTCTTTCTTCCCACAAGTTTCTCCTCAATTTTTACTGTCCATAGTCCCATACATTTTTGTCTTGGTTAATGGGTGGGCTAAAAAAGAAAAAGTAGAGTTTTCCCGGAAAAACCAGTAGTTTCCAACTTCCCATGATTAAAATCACATATGATATGATAGTTATATAAACCAAGATCATAGATGTGTATAGTATCTCCCTGAAGTGCATAATTAAGTGTTTATGACTAATGAGACTCTTTCATGTTGAAGAATTTTGAGCTCTTGTACTGGTTCAATTTTATTCTGTAGTCACTCATTAAATTTATTCCATTCATCTCAGTATGTTCTTGAAACAGAAGAGAAAATTCTTTAAATCACATAATGCACAAGAAGAGCTTCCTCAGAAGCACACTATACATGCGTGTTCTAATATGTACAGTTTTTTAAGATTAAAGAGTCTCCAAAATGGAGGTCCACCCAGTACTCATTACACTGCTACAAGTTGCTGTAAATACTGTAAATTCAATATATCATCTGTCCAAATCTTTCCAGTGCAGTTTAAATGAACAGCTCTGCTGAACACAATTTAGTTTTAAAATTTCAAACCAAACCGCACTATTCACGAGCCATGAATGTGTTATTTAATAGACTTTATATAATGTGTGAGAACCGCACGCACGCACTCACTAGTTTAAATTCATAAGTAGAACCTTATTTGATGCTAATCTGATCATGTATCGCTTGATATGACTAAAAATTTATGTCACACGTCACCTGTTTGAATCAAATTTCAAGGAAGAAGAGCTGTAAGTTTCAATCTGAACTTTTGAAACAGCAGAACAGAGTTTAGGGACTTAAAATGACAACTGTATTGGAGACAAATTAAGCTTGAAAGGCAATCCGACAGGGAAAAAGAAGGAACTGGAACTCAAAAGTGTGTGCTTGATAAAAATTAAAGAAAGAAAAAGGAAAAAGAAAGGCAATATGTATATTTATATGTACCTAACTTGTGCTTTGGTTTTGCTTGCGGGTTAGGGTGTTGTTGGGGAAGAATATGATGGTGGTGGTCTCCCACACTCGTGTCAGCAACAGAGATTTTGCTTTAAGAATGTCAAGATTAGAGCAAGTCATGTCTCTAAACACGTGTGGTGCTCCCCACACAACAGTTCTGATATGTGAACTCAGTTTTGAATTTTGGTCCTGCATCTAATTTCCATTCCATATTTCACCAACTGATGGCGATGCCGTATCTGCATAATCATTTTTATTCCTTCATTTATTTTCCCAATCTCTTGTGCTTTCTATTGTTATTTTTCTCATTTGTCAACTTCAGTAATTTCTTTTTATCATTTGTCAACACCTCATGATTATTGTCTCTCCCTTTGATTTGAACTAGAGTATGTGTAACTTGCATATGGTATGTAGCTGGAAATTGCACTTTCTTTTTTCCAATATCTATATATATATATATATATATATATAAAGAAAGTAGTCAAGTAAGAAGGAGTCTTTTTTCTTTTAAAAAGATTGAATGTTTTGGGTTCAAATTTGAAATTAATTAATAATCATAAGATTATTTTTTTCAAAGAAATTGCGTCCAGTCATCATAAAAGCTGTCCTTTCATTCACTCGGAAAAAAGTTGTCCTTTCAAAATCATCTAAAGATCAATTTGTCTTGAGTTTACCCGTGAACTTACTAAAGGTAAAGGATCATTCTGCAACCAAATGAAGTTAGGATCATTCAAATTCCAATATCTCTGTTTCATAATTTTACATTATTTAGTGACACCAATTTTAATTTATTCATAGAGTTATAGTGGGGGTGGATAATGACAAAAAATATAAATAAATTCAAAATTTCTAATGGATTAAAAAACTAACCTTTTAGTCGAGAGTTATCTGTTACAGGTATGACATTTTTGGAAAGTACTATACAAATAAGAAATCAATATCATAAGAGACATATACACTTACAACTTTGGAGAATGTCTTGTGACTCTGTTTAAAACTTAGTATTTCAACAGCCAAATTTATAACTTCCATGAAAAAAAAGCGTCAAAAACAAAAAAGAAAGAAAGACACTGAACTGCATAACCCTATTCCACGCTTTAGTGGCATGGCAGTGAAATAATACAGAAAAATAAAACTCGACATTACAGAGTATCCCCTGTCTTAATATATTATTAATTGAAACATGGTAAAGACAACAATGAACTGAAACTACTATGGACAATTAATTTTTATACACACGCGTGCATGTATCAAAAAAAGAAAGCTGGAAATGACATCAAGTCTTCCAATAACTCAAGAATTTAATGACTCATGAATAATAATAACTCATAAAAGCTTATGTCAATCTAAAAATATAAAAGCTTAATAGATTGTACCTATTTATAAACTGTGTATAGTATGGCTCAAATTCCATATAATGCACAGGGCCTACTTATAGTTACGCATATAAATTTCCAAGATCTTTCATACACCTGCAATAGCAATAGAAGGGTATTTCCATGACCTCACTGCAGTGCAATTTTATGATAAAAATGATTTATATAATTACCTGTAAATAATTTTTCGGCACATTTTCCCATTTAAAATTATTGAACATTTCTCTTTTCTTTTTAGTCGAAATTTCTCTTTTTAATTCAATGAAAAAAAATCAAGTCTTGACAATTCAAATTAAATTAATCCGAGTTTAGTAAGAGACAATGATCACTCTTTTTTTTTTTTATTTGCAAATGTAGACCTCAAAATTTTATTCAAGACAAGCTGGACTCCCTCATGTTCTCGGTCAATAGCGCCCGCGCTAACATGCACACATATTATTGGTTGCCAATAGTTCATATTTTCCATAACAGAAAATAATTTTTGTTGGGCACAAAGTTTTGAGTTTGAGTACGTGTAAATATAAAAATAATTTTTGAAAAAGCTACTTCTAATTAAATTTGATAATGTTTAAATATGATTAAATCAGATGGTCTGATGTTATATTCTAATTAAATTTGATAATGTTTAAATATGATTAAATCAGATGGTCCGATCACTGATATTATATACATGGACCAGTTAGCCCAAAACGTAAAAAGATTACTCGGCCATGTCATTATGGGCTTACGTATTATTGCAAAAGTGAAACACCAAAATATAATTGAGCCCATTTACCAAAAGCATTCTCAATGGGGCCTTTGCTAGTTTCTTGCTCTGTAGGTTGACCCTCCTCGCCAGAAACTCGGTGCGGGATTCTCCGTTAATTCCCTATTTCGCTTCCCGCCTGGACGAAATTGGATGATTTTTTGGCTGAAGCTGAAAGATTTTTTCACAAATTTGAGGGCATCTCCAGCTGATTATACCGAACCCAGAGGGAATCAAGATTTCGATAGAAATAATAACAATAGTAATTAGCTGACCGCTGAAGTAGTGAAGGGGAAGCCCTGATGAAGACCCCTCCTTCTGCTTTCTACAAGATCCCCGTCAAGTTCAGAATGTAAGTTCAAACATGCTCTCCCCCCCCAACCCCCCCGCTTCTATTTCGGTGCCGGGTTATACAGCTAAACGTCGAATGGACTTGCAGCCCAACTGCTGATAATTTGGTACCTATTCGACTGGATATTGAAATTGATGGCCAGAGATATAAGGATGCTTTTACTTGGAACCCTTCTGGTAAATTCCCCATTTTTTTAGCTATGGTCACTTCCTTATCCATTATTACCCTCTTTTTTCTTTTCCATCATGACTTAGTTTCTTCTTATTATTCGAAAATAACAACAATATTAACCACCGGAATTGCTTCCTTGTGCCTTGCTGGACTAATTTTATATCGGAGCTTTGCTTTCGGCACATACGCTCTAAACTTTTATATCAGCTGCTATCTTAATATTTCTTCAGAGATGTGTACTGTAGGATATTTGTCATATCACTGATGCTGGTCATCTTACTTTTCAAGAAGCTGTAGTGTATTATGCTAAGTTGGTTTGTGACTGCCGCTGATCTTCATTGTATGGAATGTGAAGAAAACTTGTTTAGTATTTATGATTAAAGTAATGGTCATGTCTTGTGTACTATGAATTTTCCTAGTTTCAGGCCTATTTCGCCTGTTAATTCTAAATCTTAAACAAATTCTCCATGTGTGTGTATTTTGAAATGGCAATGGTATAGCAGTATGATAATATGTTTACCATGTGTTTTTACCTTCTATGAATTGATGCCCGAAATTTCCATGTTATAGATCCCGATTCAGAGGTGGTGATCTTTGCAAAAAGGACGGTTAAAGACTTAAAGTTGCCTCCGGCTTTTGTCACACAGATTGCTCAATCAATTCAAGTTATGGGATATTCAAATACTACCTTTCCTTGTCACTAGCACTTTCCAATTCTACGTGATACCTTGCTAATTTTCTACATTTTCTGTGGTTGCTTTCTATGCATGTTCCCTTCCCAAACCCTATGTTGAATATAAGTTGCACTTTTTTATCAGTCACAGCTGGCAGAATTCCGATCGTATGAAGGACAAGATATGTATGCTGGAGAAAAGATTGTCCCTATCAAGGTCTCTCTTTCTTGACTCTTTAACATTTGATCCTGCATTCATGTTATAAATGAATTCTGCTGCGCCCCAAATAAAAATAACTAGAATGCTCTTGTTCCTTTTCTTTATACTGCATGCTTATTTATATAAATATGTTGTTATTTATTGACAGCTTGATCTTCGTGTAAATCATACTCTCATAAAGGACCAGTTTCTATGGGTAAGATTGAGGCTTTGACTTCAAATCATGGAATTGTAATTTTTTTCTGCCCTCTCATGTGGTTATCTGCTTGTATGTGTCTAAATATTAGGACTTGAACAACTTTGAGAGTGATCCTGAAGAGTTTGCTAGAACCTTTTGCAAAGATATGGGTATTGAAGATCCTGAGGTTGGGGTAAGTATATCCAAGTCATCTAATATCAAACCATAATAAAATGTTACACCTCCATGTGATAGTAATTGTATCTGTTGTGGACGTAGCGGGTGAGAATTCAATTTAGAACTCCATGCCTCCTTGTGTTGAGCAAAATTTTATCCTTTCCTATTGCATTTAGCAGGATATGTAGGTTGGTGCCAAAATTATTATGCTTTCTGGGGTATGATTAAAATGATCTGATCAAAAGATGTTTCTGTTCTCATCCACGTTTTGCAGCCTGCTATTGCCTTTGCAATCAGAGAGCAACTTTATGAGGTCAGTTATTTAATTGCTTGACTGGTATACGGTGTTCCAAAGTTATATTTGATTGAGTTAACAGACTCTTAATTTATATTTATATATAGATTGCAATTCAAAGTGTAGTCTCAGCAAGAGAAAGCAGGATGAACAAGAAGGGTCGTCGGGGGTTTGAATATACTCCAGTCAGGTTTCTATTACACTCATCTAATACCTCATTTGATCTGGTGGAAGATTTTTATTTTGTGGTGAAAGATCCCATATAATGTGTGTTTCTAATCTATTATTCCGTTTGTCTATTTGTTGATCAAAACAGTAAAGGAGGTACTACAGCAGTGGACTTGGTTAAGTTATTTGGTCAGAAATCTAGTGTTATTCGGTGAGTCATTTTAAGCTCTTTGATGAAATCTAGTCACGACTCACAAGTTTACTTATTATGCTTGGTTTTAGAGGTCACTCAGTTTCTTATAAGTTATATCACTTGGACAAATTTTATGATTGTATGTCAATTTTGTTTTCTTTTTGGGCTGGCAAATGTTTGAGCGTTTTCATTTTTTCTTGTCAAGCTTTGTGGAATTGCATGCCAGTTCCTTTTACGTCTGTTTTTGTGGTGCATTCCATCTTCCACGTAATTGTATCCAATAATAGGTCTTGGTTTATTGAAATGAGAAAGACATGGGGAAACCTTGTCTTTATGGGTAGATAAATTACAAGGCAAGACATTATACTCTACTGATAACAGCCTTAGTTACAGTCAGCATGAAACCTATATGCTGCTATTATTGCAATCATGTCCTCATCAACATGTACTGGCATCCGCACAATACTTTAATCCCAACAGTTTATACACACAACCTTCCTTTTAATTGTCATGTGGATATTTTGTTTTTAAATGTGGTACTTGTGACAAGGTTGTTTAGTTAATTTTGAAATGAAATATCTGATAGACTTTGCCTGCTTCCTTGAATGCATCAGGAAAAGAAAGGAGTGGGACGTATATGAACCCATTGTGGACCTTCTGTCTAATGAGGAAGTCGATGCCCTGGAAGCAAAGGAAGAGAGAAATTTCAGGTGAGTTGGTACAGGGTTGGTCATTCCTTGTTGTCACAAGAATAGATCAAGATGCACCATTAAAAGCAATGTATATGGCCTGTGCAGGCTAAGATCCTTCTCCTCCCATTTCCCCCCTCCTATCCGGAGGAAAGAACTCTTTAGGTCCGTTTCCCACACATGTATTAATACAAAATATATTGTTGCCCGTCATACTTAGGTGATTTCTAGAATTATTAGGAGGCCCCTGCCATCTCTCTCTCTCTATCTATCCATATATTCTTGCGAACTCGAGCAGCTGCTGGATAGTAACTTGAGGTTCGTTGTAACTTGTAACCCCAGCTTGTGAAGGAGGGGCATAAAATATGGACATGTTTGGTAAGTACTCGAGTTTTTTCAGAAATCTTCGTCTACGTTTGATGGAAACCGTTTCTGAACGAGACTTCATATCTAAGATGAATGTTACAAGTTGATTACTGATAGAACAATTGTTGCCGGCTCTCCATCACACGCGGCAGCTCATGCTAAGTAATTTACTTGTCTTTTGTTTGACCCCCCGGGCTCCGGTCATGGAATAGATGAAATAAATAAAAAAAAATTGTTTAAGAATGAAATCTTATGGGAATTGTCCAGTTCATCCTTTAAAGCCATATCACATTCTGAATTAGATGAAATAAGATGAATTGGTATTTTGTAAATACACAATCATCGTAAATATATTAATTATTTTTTTTATTTTTTTATCATCAGGAAAGAACAAAAGAAAAATCTCATTCTTTCTTCAACAATTTTTGGTCTTTAGTGGACCTTTCAATAGGATTCAAACCTTGATGAAATTTTGACCATTTTTTAGAGGAAAAAAAGTGAATGTATCTTGTAAGATTTTTAAGAGATTCTTCGATTTCTTCTTCCAAATATTAATACAATAATGCTTATTAATCTCGTTACTTGGATTTGAAACCTATATGTTGATGCTTATGAAGATAGCCAAACTAATGATTAAGAGGAAATTTTTCACAAAATATTTAGTACCCATTCAATTCAAACAAAATTTTTTATTTATTTAAAAGATCTATATAATTTTATTAATATAGTTTATATGTTCAAAATTGTTTTGAACTACTCATTCGTACAAAAAACAAAAAAGAAAATAAAAAAAGAAATAATAAAAAAAATAAGTAAATAAAAAATGAAGTAGAATAATCAAATTCCAAACAAATACATTCAAACTTGATTGGAAATGATTTTTTTGATTCTTGAAGAATGAGGGGCAAAAGGATTGATTGAGAAAGATTTTTTGTTGTTATTAAAAGATTGAAGTCGATTTGTTTAAAAAAAAAAAAAGAGGATACCAATGAACTTTTATGAAATGACCTTACGGGATTTAGCGAATTATCTTAATTGTGGGATATCATTGAGAAATAGGAATTCATATTATCAAAAGATTTTCTACAATTCTTTCCAGTATAGAATGAGTCAATCATTCGCTTTGATATCTTATTGAATAAAAATAATGATATTATTCCTTTATTGATCAAGAATTTTGATTTTTGGAAGTAATCCCTTGTACTTTTCATGCATATTGGTGCCACGTGTTTATTCTCGCGTTCACATGCCTATATAAACCGCAATACGTAATCATTGAATGATGAATGAGAGATATTTTTACATGCCATATCAATTCCAAGGCCCCTTGGGCTGTTAAGCCAGTACGAGCATGTATATTTTAAATTATATGAAATGCTTAAGAGTCTGTCATATTCTGTTGTTTGTACCCATGTCGAGTTGCATATTACTCATTGTCGTTGTTTGAACGTGGTGGTACTACCGTGGTGTGCTTTCTGGTTTAGATTTGTCGACGATGATAAGCTTGGTTGTGTCTCTCATTCAAGTTCTATTTGTTTCCCTTCCAATTTTCAAGCTTTAGACAAATTCGGAGTAGTTTCATTTCACCTGCCAGACACTGTAATTCTGAGGTGGGAATCAGGGGTCATGTGAATTTACCTACACAGCACATTTTCCGCACAACTCAAGCAATCTAAATGTGACTGTATTGAAGCCCAGGTGGGTCCACCTGAAAGGATTCCAGTGGGATCAGGGAAACTCAGCTATATTCACATGTCTTCAGTTCCCTTCACTAGTGTCCAACTTTAGACATGAAACTTGGTCCTACCTCTATCATCATCATTCATCACAGGAGAAACAGAATCTTTTTTACCAATCCTTGGCGGCAGACTTGTTGAAACCGAAGTTGAAAAATTCAACCAGCCTATCCTGTTTAATGACGGTCCAAGCCGTATAACATTTACACTCACAGGCAATGAATCAATAATAATCAATGGATGCATGCACATTTTTATTCTTAAATAATTTTTTAAAGTATACTTAACATCCTAAATTATTGGCAAAAGCAAATTTACCTTTAATATAATTAAAATAGAACATTTTTTATTCTTGCTGTTAAATTTCTTAATGGTCAACGTTGAAGTTTTAGTTAATATTTTTTAATAATCAACATCAGGAATTTGACGACAAATGCCAAAAAATGTTATGTTTTAATTACTTTAAAGTAAAATTACTCCTATTAATAGTTTAGGAAATTTGGTGCTTCTCAAATAATATCTCATGAGCAAAAATTTATCTTTACCTATAATAAATGAGGCCACTTGAAAGAGTGGGTTAAACTAGACAAGCCATAGCTCTATTAACCATTGTAATTTTAAGATTTGTAAAGATATTATCTGTGACACTAAAAGGAACTCGATAAAGGATTTCCCTATATTTCTTGATTATTTTCTTAGCATTGAGATTGGGTTTTTGGATATCTTTGAAAACTTTAGCGGAATATTAAAATCTATAAGGTGAATATCTAGACTAACTTTCTTGATGCTCTCACACTTATTTATAACTAAATTCTCCTTCAATTATCTCCTTTACGATACAATCTAAAAAATTAGAAATTTCATTATGCAAAAACAAAGTTGTTACCTTTAACAATGCTTTTAGAGATACAAATAAATATACTGGTTAACTCATAAGGCGTCTTAGGACTCTCTTGACATCACTATTTTGGATTTTTTAACTTTTAGTATATAACAACTAGTTAACTTCTGACCCTACCTAATTTTGTCGCCTTCTTGCATTATTTTCTGTGGCCATCAATTAAAAAAATAATAATAAATTACGTTCTTAATATGATGACGAGTTTCCTTAAATACATAATGCTAAGTTATTCACGAATAAGGCTGAACTGAGCATTGCGTAGCTTTCAAAGTAACCGGGCAAGTTGTCGGTTTTTTTTTTTTTGTCATTCAATTAGAACCGGACCCGTCTTTTTTGACCCCGTTTTCTGGTAAACACGGACCCGTCCTTTTCATTCCATGAAGGGAGGGACCCAAAAAATAAAATATCCTTCATTATGTGGCGAATATCACTCTTGGACTTCGAGTCGGGCCAGCAAATGCTTTTTATCAAGATTTTAAACGGACCATTTAATCTACTTTATCCCGTGGATTTACGATTGTCTTTGGATCCTTTTACGTGTGAAGCATAAACAAGAGTAACACTGTACCATTTGCATTTGCTCAAATTAAGTAACACTCAAAGTTACTAATGACTGGGTCAACGAGATCATGGAAGAACAAAAAGCTTGAGCATTTCAAGGCATTTCACGAGGAAAATAATCACGTCAACGTCACCTAAACAGTACAATATTCATTTCAATCATGCGTGGTGGGATCCCATGGAATCCTATCTTTCTTCTTCCCATAGACCATACACAGGAGATAAGGCAGAGATAGAAGAAAGCAGATATAGAAGGAAACAAATTAGAAAAAAGAACAAAAAAAAAAAATCTAGTTTTCAATTGAAGGAAAAAAAAAAATCTCACCATGATTTTTGTTTATCAATCATGGGGATTCCCTATATTGAACATCTTGAGAAAATTGCAGATGGAGACTGCCTCCTACCCATGAACACCAGAACATCAATCTTTCCTTTTTCTTCTTTTATTTGCTCCCAATATTTACAGAGAAAAGTGCATTCATACCACATTCAAAAGCTAGTTATGGAGTTAGCTTGAAGAAGTTAGTATGATGCAACTTATGACCTAAACATCAGCACACTAAAACGTCTGCTAATTGGCGGGCGGGAATTGGTTATTATGGGTAGGATCATCACAGAGATCAGGAAGAGCTGATATTGCAGGAAGAAGTGGACTTGGACTTGTCCAGAATAGACCACATGACTTGGACATCTTCATAACCACAAGCCATCACTTCACCGTGAAGATCCGTTCCTCTGTTCTCTTGCTCTGCAGCAAAACCACACCCCAAATCACTCAACAACACGAAACAACATACGTACATACATGTACAGCATGTTAAGATCATGAAGCACAGACACAATCACAGACCTGATTGAGACTTCTTGGGATGTTCCCTTGGAGGCTGGTGATTGAAGAAAGTGCAAGCCTTTTTGAATGGGGTTGTGATGGTCTTCTTCCAAGAGGCCATGAGGTAGGTCAGTGAAGAGGATGATAGAGTCCCAGGTGGAATAGGGTATGGGAGAAGGGTGTGTGTGTGTTGTAGGGCTTATATGTGTGGGAGGCAGAGCAAGCTGTGAAGGAGAAGAGAAAGGCAAGATCCGGGAGATGAGGCCCTTTCCTTTCCTTTGCCCTTTATATTGGGTTTCCTTATCTCCCCCTGAGCCTAAGCACATGCTCCACAGTCCCACACCCTCTTGTTCCACGTGATCTCTTTTTCTCGCTCCTCGGTCCTACACATCTGATAAGATCACATTCTACAACGCAAGAGCCTATTAGAAGAGAAGATTAATCTCGGAGAGATTATTGAAGAAATGGGATTGTGGAGTGAAGGGGGAAATAAAGGGAACACGTGGAGTGCAGCACTCTACTCTGTTGGTTTGGCTGTTGAGGTGAGCTCGCAGGGCTGATGTCATGGCATTAGAATTGGCAGAAGCATGTGATGGGCTCTCAGTCTAAAAAATGCTCATGTTCTTGGGCGATGATGCAACGTGCACCAGCCCTGAATCCCCCAGCATCTTCCCCACTATCCCCTTCTCTCTTGTTCCCTCTCTTTTCATTACATTGGGCCCCTCATGTTATCCCTGGAATCTCAGATAGCTCCTTTAAAATTTACATATGTACAGAATGTAAAACAAGTCATACTGTTTATGATTTACAAATAATGCATTCTTTTGTATGTATATTGATACTGATTCATGATTGAGGTTCCAGCTTCCAAATTCTGGTTTGCTCATAACATCTTGAAACCAAACACACTGTAGTACAAGGGTTGGCATATAAATGCCTCTAAATCTTGTTCGTGAATCATTCAGATGAAAACGCAAATCATAACAAGTAGAGGTAATTTTTTTTGTAGCACCTGGCCTAGGTAGATTTTGGTTCCTTTCCTTTAGGATGCTTTCTTCTTAGGACTAAAACTCTTTTTTTTTTTTTTTTGACCTGAGCTAAAACTCAATTAAACACACATATAGGGTAATGTGTGAGAATGTGAAGGGACGGGGAATGTGGCTTGGATTGTAATGATAGGTTGACAAAGACATGGAATGGTAGGGGAGGGACCATTGTGTTGTGATAATGATATTGTTTATTACTATTATTATTGATTAAAGATCCTGTACTATATTGTTAGCTTCCCAATACAGCTTCCTTGGATTTTCAACTCTGTGTTCCATCACTCGTCTCAACAATTTAATCAATGTATTCTATTCCCTGCCTCATTAAAATATCAGTATGCCACATGCTTGCTTGTAACTTGTAACCAAACTAATCCACACTTCCAATATTATCATCATTATCTTTTTGGAAATTTCAACCCTCCTCGTATACACAGACATTATCGTCTTCTTTTCTCTTGTATTTATTATTTAAAATAATATAATTTTTAGTTACTACACTTTCTCCCGGTCATTAATTTAGTCTTTGAACTTTAACTTTATTTTTTAATCACAATCTTTAAATTTAATTAACTTAATATAATTCAGTTATTATAATTTATCAAGTTAAGAAAGTATAGGGATTGAGTTAAAAAAAAAAATTATAAATATGACATTGTTTTAAGTAAAAAAAAATTACATGAATTGAATTATTTTAATTCAAAATTTTGGAACTGAATGGATAATTGAATAAAAGCTATATTTTTCTCATTATTTTTATGATATAAGTATTTCTCTCAGTCAAAACAAATGAAGCTCCTATTTTATAAACCTAGTCACTCAACTTTTATTCATCCCCTTTATTATTTATAGAATAAGAAAAATAATTGGAATTGTATTTTAAGTTATTATTGGAGGAGTAATTAAAATTATTTATTCCCTTTCACATGCAATGTTGTGCGTGACAACCGAAGGGTGGCGATAAAATAATAGTTTCCACTTGCATGGATGAAATAATTTGATTTCTTTAAAGATGAAATGAAATAATTGGAGGGTTGCTTTCACATGCGCTGTGCTCAAAAATGCATGTTTCGGAATTTTATCGATCGCTACTTTTAATTTTTCTGTTAGTACATATCTGTACTGTACGTGTATGCCCTTATTATATAATTACCATTTTTTTTCCCTAACATTATTATGTATGTTAATTTCCGCTCCATTCTAAAAATGTTTATATATGAATCTTGACTTGCTATGATTGATGTAGAATATTCAGAGGTACTTTGGCATACGATTCCATTTATATACTTTCAAGCCATGTTCATTGGTATTCACTCCAATAATTAATTGTTGTTGCATGGTAGGCTTTTATAGAATCACTAGTAATTAAACTGAATCACTTTCACTTACCTATAGTACAAACAGTTGTACCATAATTTAATCAATGTCGGGCCTCATTTTCTTAAAATATATATTATTTTCAGACTTATTTATAGTTTGAAAAAAATTGCTAAAATAAACCTCAACACAAATTTAATTATGCTAAGGTATCTGGGAACTATTGACCAGAATGACTTGGAGTTGGGACTTGGGACTTTGTCACGGAACTGCTTGCTGAAATGAACACTCTTGAAATCATGGATCTTACATCTTCAACATCCTTTGTCGCCATCGTTGTCGAAATTATGGAGCTAAAGCCACCAAAGCGACCAAATGGGAACTGGAGAGGAATGGGAGGAAGATTTGATTTGATTAAGAGTAACTTAATCATTTAGAAGGACCTTGGGCTTTCTATAAATTGCAGGTACCTTAGCATGGTAAAATTTCTAGTGGGGGATTTTATGGCAAATTTTTTTATAATTTTCACTATTATTTATTTTTTTTATAAATAAGCTTGGAAATAATAGTATGTGTGCATCAAACCTAAACAATTTACCAAAAAAAGAAAAAAGAAAAAAAATACAACATGAAGTACTCCCTTCTCTCCTTTTTTTTTTTTTAATAAAGTTATTATATTCCATGATCTTTACTATGAAATTCTTGACATACTAAAACATTAACTTTTACCCTCTAAATATGTTTAACTTTGGTGTATATATCTAAAGGACCTCACAATAAAAATTAGAGCAAGCATAAGTATAGTTATCTCACTCTAACTTGTTATTTGGCAACTACAATATTTTTTTTAGAACTGTGCAATCAATCAGAATAGTCAGGTTGAGCACTAGGCTATGATCAATCTTAGCCATACCTTACCCTACTCTACCCAAAAATATGAATATATTTTATTTTTTAAATTGTTTAAACTTTATTTATTTTAATTTTTTTTTGATTATATTCATTTTATGTTTATTATGGTTTTTTTGTGATTTCAATTTTTCTAATCTTTTTAAATATTTAACATTAAATTTTTTTACTTTGTATCATATAAAAGTAATGACTAATTGTTAATTATGTGTAATTTAAAAAATTATTACTTTAAATTATAACATTAATTCTATAAACAATTCATTTCAAATAATTATAATTATATTTTTTTTAGTTGATAAAATTATTTTTATATTTTTAAAATAATTTTTGAACATTGGGCCAAACTTGGCCCGAACTTTCGAGCAACCCAATGCTCCAATATGCACATCAAGTAGGGGTGGAGCTCAGTCCGGCCCCAACTCATGTTTATCACTAATTTCTTGAACGCACCGTTCTAAATTATTGAATTAACATGGAATGACCCAATCCATATATGCATATGTGCGCTATGGGTATATGCAATTTGAGGATCACGAGAACACGATCATGTTGTCTCTCTTGGAGAAGGGGGATTTGTCTCCACATTAGCATTTGGGTATGGTGTTCTCTCTTGTCTATTATCTATCCTTTATTAGTCATATTTTATCGAAATAGTAATGAAATTCACACCTCAATTTTCAAAATAACTTTCTGTTTTAGCGTAATCAATCGATTAAATATATTATTATATTTTTAATTTCTTAAATAAGGGTTTTTGCACAGGGGCATCACCCAACTTAGATGCAGATTAGTCAATAATGCTGAATATTGAATGCTGTGTTATTACCAAAAACTTGAGTCGTTAAAACAAAGAAATAAAATGTCTTCTTATGATGTACTCTCTTTATTAAAAAATATAAGATATTTTTAATTGAATCTCATCCTCCAATAAAGTAGTTACTTGTCTTCAAATTAACTCTATTTTTTCATACGTACCTCTATTTATACCCTAAAATAAATATAAAGTAATTTATTTAATAAAGGCACTTTAAAGAAATTATTCTTGAACATTTGATCTCACAAAAAATGACATTTTTTAAAGGGAGAGAGTAATTTTTTTTAAAATTTTGGATTACTGGTATTCGTATACGAATAACTGGTTGATTGAATTATGCGATGAGAATTTAATGCAAAAATATCAAAATATATTCAATAACTTTTCCAAACTGAATATTCCAAAAGTGTTTTTATTCAACTAAACTTATGGCACTAGAGTTTTTATTTAGCGGCTCCCTTATAAAATGGGAGAAAAAATCAAGGGGTGTGAACTTGATGCCACTTGTACAGATATTAATATCATAATTAAAGCCAGGGTTAGGAAAAAGTGTAAAGTCTGTAATATTATATTTTTTATGGTATTTCAGGACAGTGGAGTTAAAAAAACATATAGCCTCACCAAACAAAGCAACAGAGATTAATTATTTTATTTTATGCCAAACGATGGTGTTTGAAAATTCTGATTCTTCACTCAATGCTGAGAACCCTAACTTTAATTAATTATTCACTTGCTTTTATGCCAACTTGAATTGAATTGGCATCAACAGGTGTATAAAAGGAAACCACAAACACACAACTAATTTTTGCCCAAATATTTTGGATGATTTTTTTCTTTTGAACAAATGATATTTTGTATGATTTAATCTGGCACCATTTTGTATTGGTTAAGAAGAAAAATTTGCGTGATTAATGAGAGAGGATATTTTAGGCTTCTGCCCAATTCAACACTTTATCTCGTTATGGGCCAAGCCCAATATCATTTGTATGGTAAAGTAAGCCGAGGCCCAATTTATCAGACACCGTCCCATTACCCTTATGACGTAGGCGTATTTTTTTATGTAGAAAATAAACTCTCTTTTTATATATGGAATAAAATAAATAAATAAATAATATAATTTTCGGAGGATCCCATCAGAATTATGACATAAAATAGTGTCAAAGAGACAGAAAAAGATTACATGAAGTAACCCAACAATTGATAGTGCTTCACAGTTTATTAATTGTTAATTAAAATTAAATTAGGTGAATAAATATATTACTCATTGACAGATTATTCCATTCAAACTTGATCCTCTTTCCAAGTTGGAATTAATGGTCACCCTTCTATTCTAATTCATGGTGTCTTGGTCAAATCCACCATTAATTTTCTTCATTATAATGCATATAACATTAACATTAACAGTTTTATATAATAATAATGTTATTTAGACCTTAGAAAAGTAACAAGTTCCATTAAATTTTAAAAACGTACCACCACGGTAAACCTTTCATACGCATGGCTGAATTCGAAAGATTTATAAATCATGAACAGACTAAATTCAAATTGAATTATTTAATATTTTTTAAAATTTTTAAAAGATTAAAGTAGATATCAGAAACGAAATAAAAATACGTATAAATTTGATAACATATATATAATTTGCTTTATTATTAGCGGGTCTTGCCTCTGGTCGAGGAAAATCACGTGGTTGTTAATGTCTTCCAGGCAACCACAGAATATTTAGAATTAGGACCTGTAATATTAATAAACAACTAAGAGAGGTTTATTTATGATAATAAAGAAAAGACTAATATTCGCGCTACGCAACTAATTTGATTCATTCATTATTTTGAAACCTTAGAAACTGGCAACAAAAATTCAAATTCAAAGTGGAGAAGTCAAAGGTGGAAAGAAGAGGGTTACCTAAACCACCACTTTGCTTCACAACAAATACATACAAATATATATATATATATATATATCCAAATACAGGGAGTCACCACTAGTTCATATTTTTCATAAAAGAATATAACTTTTTTTGGGTATAAATTAGCCTTAAAGGATACATAAGTACTGTAAGTAAAAAATATTAATATCTGGTGCTTGCATAACCTAGGACAGCCATGAGTTTGACCCAATGATTAGCATTTTCTTCCTCTGCTATTGAAATTGCAGAATTACAATATTTAAATTGAAGCAAAAGAGATAAAAGTAAAAACCTTTCTTATCTAAAGAATCCCGAAAAAATCTGCTTCTTTTTAACCACTTGAGGTTGAAGACATGTCTTCTTTGTCCTTCTCCCAAAATTGGCAAACATTTTACAGCTAAGATCCATTCAACTTTGGCTTCTTGCAGTACTTAGCTTGCTCTTTAGAAGCATCCAATTCAGCTTCTTCTTCACTTGTTCACTATATATATCCCACGAGATTTAACTCTTAGCTGCAACAATTCTAAAAACCAGAAAAGTCACTTACCCAGTTGATTGAAAATGCTCTTAGCCTTCAGTATAGTGCATTATAAAACTCAGACAGCATATATATATATATATTATATTTGTATGTATAGAGGACTTTGCATCACTTCACAAACATGTAGATATATTTAGTATCAGTACTTGTAAGTCTGTCCTGAAGCTGATAACTCCAAATCAGATTCCTCTAGTCATGTCTACAGAGGGATAATGCTTTTCTGGTTTCACTCCAGCTCACTGGCTCCCTCAAAAGAGTATGTGTGTCCACCAAATGTTCGTACAAAATGCTTGCCTTACAGGGAAAAGGCGAAACTTTCCCTAGCTTGCTATGCCGCATGTATTTTCAGATAGATCCTGTTTCACAAAGTCTAATAATAAATCAAATTACTCATCAAGATGTACGTATAGTATGTTGAACTTGAAGGTGGATTTATTGGTAAGTGTTCGTAACATGTTGAATGTTTCTCAGTTCATGAAATGAATCAATTAATTAATGTCATAGATGAGTTTAACTTGCATCCTTGTAGAATCCATAGCTGTTAAGATGATAGAGTATTAATCCTATGGTACATGCAAGAGTAGGTAGAATTCACAACCTACTAGATCTCTCTCTCTCTCTCTCTCTCTCTCTCTCTCTCTCTCTCTCTCTCTCTCGATTTAGAGAGATGGGTTCGAACTCGCAGGCTGCCACTTCCAGGAGAGATTTCATACCACTAATTAACAAGGCCATTGACACTTACTAGATTTCTTTAACTTGAGCAGAGAGTATTAAAAAAAAAAAATTGAAAGAGTCGAGAGAATGCATGGGAAAAAGTGACTCATCGGCCTGGTGGGTAGCCACTTATAATATGTAAATTGACTGAATCAGTGACCTCAAATGCATGATAAAAAAAAAACGTGAAGTTAATAATTATAATTTATTCTGTTATAAACTCTAAAGTTGTAATAGGGTACCAACTAACTACTAAAGGGTTGCATGTTGAACCTCTACCTAATGAACTTACTCGTTTGGTTTGACTATCACTAACATGCTTACAACATATGATCATTGAGTTACTGCAATAGAATTCACCTCAAGACTTCTGATATTTTTAGCTAAAAAGAGAGGAGTTCATGATAATTGAGTGCTGGTTATTGCAGTGAAAGGGGCTTTTTTTCCTTCGCTTAAACCCAGCAGAAGTGAGAACAATAAGATTCCATGGATAGAGACATTGGTTTGTGAACAAGATGCTGGAATACTGTTCCACTGAGCTATACTGATATGTGGTATCTTGTCATTCAGATAGTGTACGTTTTTTGAAGATTCCAATCAACCTTTGCCAATGGTTTTAAAGTGAACCCCAGAAAAGCATAAGAGCACAAACTCCCCCCCCCCTAACTATAACCTATGCCACAGACATTATTGCACGTCTCTAGCTCCTCTGTTTATCACTATCTCTAACACTATATGCTGTCACTTTTGTGTACATCGAGTTTTGGATGCTGTCATGTCTTTTAATTCTGACATAATCCTTAAAATTGAGATGGAACCTGTGCAAGTTTATCCGATGGAACATTAAAAAGAAACTGAAGACAGTACAAAAACTAGCTTTACTTATGCTTTCCTCAGTTTCTTTATTTTCCCCTATTAGAAGCTCCTGCTTTGGACTACACTTTTGGATGTTAAGTTGAGAAAATGAAGAACAATCCCATATTAGAAACAATATTGCTGCAACAAATGTTGGAGTATCTGCATGCATTAGAAGATCATGAAAAAACAAATGGCCTGAAGAATTAAGGAAAGAAACACTGTCACCAACAGAACAGCATGAAGAAACAAGAACGTTATCTTTTCTACAAGTCTTAAGGTCTTGGCCTCTCTGTGTGAACACATGCCTGAACGAAGCATAGATTTTTTTTTTTAGAAAAAAGGGAATAAACATAATATTATGCTATCTGAATTCTAAAATCTACTGTAGTGACCCGTTCTTATCAAGTTGAAAGGAATGAGCATTGCTTAGAAACTATAATGCACAGACACTTCAAAAACTGTAAGTCTTCTGCTTCTTATATGCATGTTGCATATATACTTTCTAAAAATGAAACGCCATTATAAATTTCACACAAGTACTTCCTTTTTTTAAAATGCCACTAATTCCTTGGTTCAAAGTTAAGTTTGGTATGAAATGTTGTGCTTCCATATTTATGCAGCAGACATGGCTGAATTATTTTCTTTCAATGACAGTACATCTTTTGACAAAATCGCCAAACTAATGTTCTCTGTGCATGTGATTCTTTCATCGAGTCATGATCAATCTGCACCTGGTCACAACTTTTTAATTTTTGTTTTTTGGAAAAAGAAATATTAATATCTTCTTGTTGGCCTGGACAAAGAACCATGGAATATATAAAGGGATAAAATATAGGCGAAAAGAGACATAGCCAAGAGCTGCTATCAAATCAGGAAAGAAAGAAAGAAAGAAAGATAACACTTGATATCGTACATCTTGTACTCCCATGATTTGTTTTCTTGACAACAAAATGCATCATTTCAACATTGTTCTCGAAAGTAGAAGATTCGCAGAAAAAGAGAATTATTACGATCAAATTAAGGCCTCCTGTCATGTGTCATTTAGTTACTTGAAGAAGCAATTAAAAATAAACCGTTACTGAAAGTGCTCGTCCAAAGACTACAATAAGTACTTGGGTTAATGCTTATTACTGTTCAGCATAATCATTTGGAAAACTTGAACATCATGAACTTTACTGTTCAGATAATAATCTTTTTAAAACTTGTCCGGGATATTAATCCATCCATTTTCAGATAGTAGCTACTGTCAAGTTCTTATGCCAATCACTTTAATCACATCCAATTATGTTTCCAGTTAAACATATTCAAGCTTTAAGCCATGAACAAGATGATTAACATATCATGCACTGATCAGCAGGAAAGAACAAGGAAATAAAAGGGAAGATCAAGAACAATACCTAGAATAGATGTAAATGGAATCATACATGTAATAACACAAATGAATAAATTTTTTTTTTAACATTATTGACGACCACATTATTGCAGCTAACAAGATTGGTCAGAACATTGAAGGGAGCTAAAACTAGTTTGCAAGAATGGAAAAGCAAAGAAGAGAAGAAGAGAGATTCTTGTTCTTGTTTTTGTTGCTTAAGAAGCGAACTGGTGCTCAGAGTCAGAGACACGAGAGGCATAGAATCGAGCAATGAAAGCAGAAGCTTTCCTGTCAATACCAGGCTCTGCAACCCATCGTCCTCTGTCTTCATCGCTAGCAAAGATTCTTCCTCCACTCGCACCATCTTCCCAGTAATAATCATCTCTGCTTCCGCTTGAAAAGCACGACTTGAATATGCCACACAATGAAGAGAATGATGACTTCTTCGCGCCCATTCTCACTTCCCTGATAACTGATATGCTTCTCCTCCTCCTCCTCCTCCTCCTCTTGATGGGGTATGATGATGACGATGATGATGATGATGTGAGAGTCGGTGTGTTACTCACAAGCTCTGCTTGATATCTCAAGGGGTTCTTGAGAAGGAAGAAGCTTGTAATCTGGAGTGGCACGTAAGTGGAGGAGTTGGTATTTATAGAGCGAGCATTGTGAGGGGCTGTTTGTATCTTCTTTCTTTTCAGGAGGAAGGAAATGGACGGTGACGATTCCCGGATATGACAAGCAAGAGAGGGTAACATGGCTGAAAAAATCCCACCTTTGAGGGGAAGAAAAAAAAAAAAAAAAGGCAGAACCATTCCTGTCCTCTGCTTTTGAATTGACCCCCCAAATCAACAGCTCCTATTTTCAGTTTCTCAGGTGATTAAGTGATACAGTACCAAACTTTGCTTTCTCTAATTAACATTAGCACGCCTTTATATTTTATGTTGAAGATGTACAAGTGAGTAGACTCTACATATATGAGAGGAGAATGATATTTAATTCTCAATATTATCGTGTAAAAACACGTATCTGTTGTTATTAAAAGAAGAATCTTAATTTATTAAATTTTTAAAAAAATCCTAATAAAAATAAAGTTAAAATTCAATATTTAGCAACAACATATATATATATATATGTGTGTGTGTGTTTATATGTTTTGACAAGATAATATTTGATGCAAAATTGATGGGATTTTATTGTGATAATTACACTTAGGAGGATCTTATATGTTAGTTTCCCTATGATGAAGCTGTACTGTTGTAGATAGCATGTGTATGTATATGTGTTTATGTATTAAATTATCAATCGATGTGTCTCACGTGAAATAGAATTAAATACATAATAGAATTTAAAAATCTATGAACTTGTATTTTAAGATTTTAAATTAAGATATGAAATTCTTTACTTCTTATTTTCTATTATTTGTTTTGTAATATCTATGTTTGTGGTAAGATGTTTTCCATACATACCATTTTTAATAGGCAAATGGTAGAAATTAGTGTGCAGTTGGGTAGGGTCTTTGATTCCTCCGTCAAAGAAAACAGAGAGAGATGCTTTCTTCGTTTAATAAATTGGGTGTTTTAAATAATTGTTACAGAATTAGGCTGATATGCCTTGGTTAAATCTACGCGTATTTAACTATGTCATCTCCCTACCTGGATTTCTCTTTTCTCTCTCTCTCTCTCTCTCTTTCTTGGAATCCAGGTGGCGGGAATAACAACTTCATGGACTAGAAAGTTCAAGTCTTTGGTATGAAGGTTGATAAATTACACGTCTGGAAGAAACTTCTGGACTAAAAGGGCTATTTGAACTGTAAAAAATAAAGAGAGGCTTAATTACATTATGAAAGAAGGTTGTATATAATGTCTTTTATCATCTACTAACGCTTTTCTTTATGTTTAATTTAATTACTTTCACTTATTCCAAATCTAGAAGCAATTTAGGTTGGGGGTGAGATCATTTTAGATATAGGAATTCAACAAAAAATCTTAACACTTATCTCATTAAATTGAATCTGCTACGTGAATTGTAAGATATTTGTGCTTTGTGAGTAATTGAGCTTTTGAAAATATTATTAATTAAGAGATCTTGTTGAACAATTTTTATGAATGTTCTCTTTGATCTTCATTTACCTCTCTTTACAAAAGTTAAAGACAATTTATTTTACTTTTTTCACTTTGGCCTGATCTCACGGCCTTCTGTGTGTCTCTGTGTGTGTGTGTGTGTGTGTTTTAAAGATTATTATGCAATTTAAACTTTGAATTATAGATTTAAAAATGATTTAAATTTAAACTTTTAAAAGGTACATTCTGAATCCTAAACAATTAAGTTTAAAATATTTTTATCCCATTGTTAAATTTGAACAAACATTCGTTAGTTTTTTTAAAATGTGGTCTAATGTGCAATTTTTCTCAAATGAGAGTAGGAAAGAGAGTGACATAAATTTGGGTAAAAATCACATATTAGATTCTAATTTTTGAAAAACTGACAAGTGTTTGTTCAAATTTAATGGTGGGGGTATCCTAATTTTAATTATTTAAGATTCAGAATGTATCTTTTAAAAGTTTAAAGTTCACATCATCCCTGAATCTATAATCAGAATTCAAAATGCATATTAAACTTATATTTAAATCATCTTAAATGATTTTTATTATCTTCTCCTCATAAATATTATATCTACTTTTCCTTTCAAATACTCACTATGTAATTTACCTTAACATTCTCATCTTTGTGGCACTATTCCAATTTTATACTTTTATTGTTCCTTTCAAACCTAACATTTAAGACCATATAACACGGTTAGTTTTATAATTTTAGGATATAGTATTAAAATCTTATTAAGTGTAGTTTGCATTTCTAAAATTCAAATTACCATGACAATAATGATATTTACAAACGATAACTTGCCTTTCTCTGCATACAAAAGCAAAGAAAGAAATTTATATGCTAATTAAATTATATACTAAGTGGAGAAGTTTGTCTTCGGTAAATAACGAGGTAGTCTCTCTTTAATTGAAATAACATTTCAATAAATAAGTATGCTCCCTCCAGTTCTATTTAAAGGATAGGGAAAGAAAAATTATTTTCTATTTTATTTATAATTTATGTCATTGAATTCTTATAATAAGTTTCGTGTTTTATCTCCATTATTAAATATTGATATGACAAAGTTAGAAACTTATCATATTTAAATAAAATTACAAAAAAAATTAAAGCTACTCATCAGTCATCATTAAGCTAATTTTAGAAGTCATGGAAGAAGCTGCAGGATTCAAAGTGACCTCACAATGGAAACTTAGAACATTAATATTCACCCTCCAATGAAATTACGAGTTGTTGTGTTCACATTTCATCACACGGTGATCCTATTACAATAATAACAATAATTAAGAAAAGAAGCGCAAAAAGCAGAAAGCAGCAACCAGAACAACTTTAAAAAGAATGGGGGAAAAATCTCTAAGCTGTCTTTACATCATCCTTTGCTGCGAATACAACAACTACGCCTAGCTAAGAGCCACACCATATATATATATATATATATATATTTATATATGATATCACGTCCTGTACCATCTTTATCTCCAAACAGAAAGAAATATATATATATATATATATATATAAGAAGGCAAAGCAAGCAAAGGGGTTTGTGGTTTTGCTTTTGGGCTCGTACGCATAGAAATGAATCCCTTTTCAGCTTTGCATTGTTAGTATAATAATTTGAGGCGATCTTTAAGAGGAAGGAAGCTGGGTTGCTAGAAATGTGATGCGCGCGAGTGTGTGGTGAAGGTGAAAGTGATCTTCCCAGAAAATTCCTATTACAACGCAGTGCCTTCAAGCTGTCTTCCTTTATCACATCTTAAGTCTTAAGGGATGCCCTAAACCCACAGGGCCACACTTGGTATGTTAATGTGTGTGTACATCAAGTACGTACCTTTCTTTTTATTACATTAAATACATTTATTTAATATTACTGCCTTTTCCTTTAATTTCTATATATATATATATATATATATATATCGTTGTCCAAAATAAATGTTTGCCTTTGTTGGTTGTAATTAAGCTTGAGGAATCCTGTTACTGTGCTTTATTCCCTTTATTCCCTGAATTCTATTTCTTATTATAAATCACCTCTAAGTTACCTTACTGGAACTAGTAAGAAATTATTATTAAGTTATTAGCTCTATTTTAAAATAAAATATTTTTTATTTTACTTATATTTACGACAATAAAAACAACAACAATCCTTGTCTAAAAAAAAAAAACCATGGAATAAATGGATTGCACAGTATTTCGGTGCTCTATCAACAAATTAAGTTTTTGAATGTATTGCTGACTAACAGATTTCGCTCAGTGATTTTTTTGAGTGTTTTCTTTTGTTATTCTCTACCGCTCTTCACATGGCTTAAGAGAGTATTCACTTCACTCTCCTCCCAGAGGCTCATACAACATTTTTTTGTATATATCTAAATTATCTCAAATAATTTTTTACCTGTGTTTAAATAGAAAATTTTTAAATTTGATTAATATTCTCTTTCATAGTTGATGACTTTACATAAGGGATAATATTAAAAAAACTTAATCGATATCCTATTAAGTGACTTATAATAAGGATGATTCATCTCTTGTTGAGAGTGCCTTGTTAGTAAAAGCCAGAAGGGATACTAAGGGACAATGTAATCATAATCATGCCAGAATATATTAAAAAAAAACAAAATAAAGGTGAGATACTGTTAGGCGTATAGATCTATAAGTTTTAGGTTCATACATGTATTTGTATTTGAAGGTTTTAATCATATTTAAAAAGGTGGCGATCATCTTCCTTTCTCACCATATAACTATATATATATATATATATATATATGCCACTTGGGATTTCGTAATCTTCCATACATGATTGCCAGCATATAGATCACTCAAAATTTAATATTGATACGGTACGTAAGTGGCCTTTCATGCATGTGCCAGTTTAATTTTAATATACTTAACAAGCTGCATCAATAATTATTTATGGGATTCATTTTTAATTAGTATACTATCCGGTACTTTACACATTTATAATGCAATTCATATAATTATGTAATTTTCAGTTGTTTAAGGTGCATTTGAGGGGTGGAGAAGATGATTATTGTATGGTCAATTGACCGACTTTCAATGCCTTTCTATTTGTTTATCCATGTTTTATGATGTCTAATGATAATGAAATTTTTACTCTATTAAATTTACTTCAATTATTAATTTGATTCATAAAGTTTAATTTATATCAATCAAGTCCCTAAAACTATATAACTACTTTATATTTTGAAGATGAAATGACACCATAATAACTAATTGTATATAGTTTATAAAAATTTAAAAATGTGATTGATAAAAATTAAATTTTAGGAACTAAATTGGTAATTGAAGTAAATTTAAATTATGAACGTTTCATCGTTCATAAATGTATGCGTGATCAAGATGTTTCTATAGCGTTGACGAATTTCAAGTGAATTCAAACTTGATAGTACAGATCCTTTGCTTGCCTTGAATGTGAATGCCTGAATGGTGCTGGTATGCTCTATCGAGTATTTTTGGTAAAATGTCACAATGGAAATGCATTTGACTAATTGTTTAACAACATTTCTTTTCAAAATAATCACGCTTATTTATTTATTTATTTTCATTAATTCAGTTCAAAAAATGGGCTTCATGGAAGTATGTTGTGGTTCAATTTGTGTTTCCTATACTCTTATCTTCTTATAACAAGATGAAAGATTATTTATTATTGATTATATAAGAAATGAATCTAATTGCCTTATGGCTCAATTAGCACCCCACCCTCCCCTCCAAAGGAAAGGTTATAAGATCAATCCTCAAGTGGTATGTGTGTGGGGTATATGTGTGTGAGTTTAGTAGAATTGAGAATACAAGCGAGTCTGGCTTTTAAGAGTTTGGGCTTGAGCCCTAAAACTTAATTTTTTATTTTAAACCTCATTTCTCAAGCCCGATCTCTATGCTCAGGGTTCAGTGCTGGGCCCACGAGCTCATTGTCAAAGAATAAAAAAATTAAAATAAAATTAAATCTTATAAATTAATTAAAATATTTTGAAATTAAAAAAGATTAAAATTCTCATAATTTTTTAGAAATTAAATAACACACATTTAGAAGTCTATTAATAAAATTTAAATTTTAGTTAGAAAAAATTTCATTTTTTTATAAATATACAAACATAATAATTATAAAAAAATAAAAATATCATAAATTTTATACTATACATTGATATTTATTAAATTAATTTTAAAATAAATTAAAATTAATAATAATATAATATATGTAGGATCAGGTGAGTGAGTCATTAGCTTCAAATATGTGTCATACTAAAGAAAATAATAATAATAATAATATAATAAGGCTTGAAAGGCAGTTCGGACTTGAGTCCTATTTTACAAGGCTTATCAGAACCTAGCCTTCAAGCCCAATTATTTAAAAAAATTATTTTAAAAATCTAAATTCTTATTTAAATAGAGCTTTCAAGCTCAGCTTTCCAGGCTAAGCCTTTATTTTTGGCTCTAAAGTTTAGGATGAGGGGGAAAAAACAAAGGAAGGAAGAAAGAAAAAGGATTTGACTTTCTTACTTGTAACATATATATATAATATAATTTTCCCTGAGACTATGTTTCCTCTTTTAATGTTGCCTCTTGGGCCACGAAAAATAAACAAAAAATTAAGGAAGAATGATTGTGAGGTTTTAACGAGATTATTTAATTCAAGTTAAATTTTAATTAATTTCATAATATTAATAAAATTTTTCAATTCTTTAGGGTAAATATTAAATCTAACAACTTTAGAGATTTGTAAATTCATATTTTAATTTTATAATTTTATTGTAATAAATTTACAACCTGTTTTTTAAATTCTAACAAGATTGGAGAGTAAACACTGAACATTTGTATTCCTTGTTAAATTTTGAAAAATAAATTATAAAATTAAGAGCCAAATTTGCAAATATTTAAAGTTGTTAGATTTAATATTTTTTAACATTAAAAGTAATTTTTTTGTTAGAATTTGAAAAACAAATTACAAATGCATTCTAACAAAGTTGCACATTTGGAAGCCCTATTTGCAAATCTTTAGAACTGTTACACTTACCATTACAACAAAGATCGAGGAACTTTGCTGGCATTCTGAAATTAATTGAAACTTAATTTGAATTAATTAATTTCTTAAAACTTAACTTTCATTTTTTAAAAAAATAATTTCACTTTTTAATGTTTAACATTAGGTCATCAGCCATGCTGCGCATAAGCAACAAAAACAGTTAAAACAACTCCACCGACAACCAAATCCGGTGCAGCCCATACTGGCCCTCAAATTGATATCCGCCCGGCCCAACTTGGTTTTTTGGGCCTGAAGCCAACTTGGTTCATGGGCACCTTTGTTTACCTTCTATCATTCCATTCCCATGTTCCATGTGCACCCCATGTCTTGTCAAGGGAAATTTGATATTTTTAAATTTGCATTGTAAAATTATTTAGAATTACATTTTAAAATTTCAAAGTAATAAAGTAATATTATTATTTATAATAGTATCAAGTATGACTTGTAAATTTTATTTTGTATAATGATCCTTTAAAAAAGTCTATATAAATAAAATTTAATATAAACTTTAGTATTGACAGCTGGTTTGGTTAGAATATGGGTAATGTTTGCCTTATATTTCCAACATAGAAGAATCCTTCAGATGAATTGTATTATTTTGTCGCTGATGATGACAGTACAAGGTTTGTATATTTATAATCCTTTACTTGTCAAACTTCATGGGTAATTTACTTTTCTCATTGAAAACCAATATATAAATATATCAAAAATAGAAAAAAATTACAAACAGATTCCAAATAAGTAAATAGATATTTCTTCACTTCCATTTATATGTCAGACTTGATTATCTACAACTGACCTTGGTTTGTTAGTAATAAATTTTCTTATATGAAACTTGGGTGTGTATAATTCTCCTTACAAAAAATGGCATGTAACATTTTTCAAACAAGATAACATCAACAATAAATACTATTTTCATGAAATGAAATTAATTACATGAATCACACGCTAATATACTCTATTAATAACTTACTTTAATTTAGATGTATGGTTGGTCACAAGCTCAATATATGGAATTGAGTAGTTTCTACAAATGTTTTTTTGTTCTTTTTTTGTTTGTTTGTTTGCCTTCCTTGACGAAGAGAGTGCCAAATAAAATTAACCATGAATAGTTATAAAATGACCTGAAAAAGACAAGCGTGAGTCACGCGCATGGATAATTAGAAAGCAGACAGTGGTAGGATTGGGAATTTGATTAGAAGTGATGGCCCCGGAGATTGAATTGACTATCGTCACCTCCTCATCTCCCTCGCCACCAACCCATTACCCACACCACCCACCACCAGCCACCCACCATTCCTTTCTCGGAATGCTCCAAATTACCCTCTCCTTCTTCAACCCCTTCCTCTAACAATTTCCGATTCTCTTCCCCTTCATCACTCGCGCCAGATCCATTCAATTCAATGCAAGACCAATCCTCTTCTTCATCCAAGACCGCAGATTTGGATGCTCCTCTTCACGCTATTGGCTTCGAGATTCAAGACCTGTCGCCCCACCGCGTGGCCGGCCGTCTCCCTGTCACCCATAAATGCTGCCAGGTCCACTTTCTTCATCTCCGATCTTCCCCCTTTCTTTCTAGCATTCTTCAACTCAAATTTTGTGATTTCAGCCTTTCAAGGTGTTACATGGAGGGGTTTCCGCCATGATCGCCGAGGGTCTGGCAAGCATGGGAGCTCACATGGCTTCTGGTTTTAAGAGGGTGGCCGGAGTTCAGCTCAGCATCAATCATCTCAGGCGTGCCGAGCTCGGTGACTTGGTCCATGCCGAAGCCACCCCTCTTCATGTTGGCAAGAGCATTCAGGTCTTCCTTCCCCTTCCTTCCCTCCTCTTTCCTATATTACTGCTAATTCCTTTCCCGCATTACGTGAGCTTTTCTTGTATCAATACACCGTCACAGGAATAAATTGGATAAAATTTTAATCCCTTCATACATTAATTAAAACACGTGTGATTCAATCCAATAAGTTAGTACCTGAGTTAGTGATCCCTCTGCACAATGGGACGCTAACAATGCATGGGGCTGCTTCATCACAAGTCATAACCAGAATCTCCGGTAGCCACGCGAAATAAGCATGGTCTGGTCCTGCCATTTCTACCCTCCCATGTCCATTTTATAATTAAATCACCTTGAAATTTCCGGCCAATAATAATAACAATGACCTTACGCACTTCTGTTTTGTTTGTCTGACAATTGACATCCTCCCTTCCATTAAATCTGCAGCTAATGAAATTGATAACTTGACAAAACCGCACTTGCAAACACTGGATTATATATATATATATATATATTCTGTAAAAGTACCACCTCCTCAGGTTTTATTTTTAGTCATTGTGGATTATTTTCATCGTTTCTTATCCATTTTATTTATTTATTTGAAAAAAATACTCGGAAAGATTATGAGTTGGCCCAAACAATATTAGTTTTGTTGAGGTTCAATATCTTATATTCTTTTAGACCCTTCTCATTTGCGCGTGCTCATTTTATGGGAGTGAGATTTCTTTTCCTGTTGTTAAAATAGACCAAATTTTTATTCACACAATTTTATAATTTTTTCCCTTCTCAAGATGCTTTTTTCTCCCCAGTCATCTAAAGAGTATAACAGTTTTAAATTCACTTCAACAAAATTAACACCTTTTGGACCACCCCTGTCCCCACCACTTGACCAAGTCAGTCTTAGGGATCTCTACCTCTTGACCATCTCATGATTAATCTGTCCATTTAACCAGTGATTGAAAGAAGCTGTTGAACAACTTGAGAGCAAAATTTAGTGTGCGCTTATTTTTAGATTACATATGATAAAAGTAGGTTTGAGGGATCCAACTATTTGTTGAATTTTAAAAAAATACATTATATTGTATTGTTTGAATGTCCTTTTGAGGATTACCAAACAGACTTCTGGTATTAAGAGATTGAAAATTCCAGTCCCTTTTGGTCACTAGCTTTTGTGGTAAAAAAGTGTAAATCATAACATGAACATTTTCCTGAATAAACATGATATCGCCATAGCAATTTTTGTTTTTGTTTTTGCTTTTCGTTTTGCTATTTCATAGTAAACGTCTATAGTTGAGTTCTTCCTTTTGTGGCAAGCCATTTCATCGTCATCAAAATAAATTGGCATCGAAAGTTTTCTACTTTACATGCAGACATAAATATAAAGTAGCAAATAGAAGAATTGGACCAAGACATAAATCAAAGTCAGCTCAATGTTAAACAATGAGGTTGGTTTCAAGTGAACAATCAATTAATTGGCCGTTTCAAATATGGCAACTTAGCATCGTTAGTTTACGACAGATGAGAAATACCATCGATGTTGTTTTCTCTTCGGCAGTGGCCATCACACTATACCTCCTACCCTTGGGAAAAAATATTCAGAAGATTAGGAATTACCATAAAGAGCAATTACATATTGGCTAAATTCTAAAACACAGTCATATAATACTCTATTCAAACGTCATGAAACAAACCCTGCTCATCAAGTTTCACTCTATTCTGAAGCAGGTGTGGGAGGTGAGAATCTGGAAGATAGATCCTTCAAACTCTCAAAATAGATCCTTGGTATCATCGTCCAGGGTAACTCTTCTAAGCAACATGCCAGTCCCGGATCACGCAAAAGATGCTGACAAAGCACTCAAGAAGTATGCAAAACTGTGAATATTTATATGGTTTGATTCGTAAGTGCAATTCTTCTGTAACCTGAATTGCATTAAGTCAAAAAACAAAAACAAAAAATTCCTACAATGCACAACATTATCATATCGTGTTTCTTGTATTGTCGTATATATGAACAAGGAAAAATCTTGCAACTGCTTAAGGTTCAGGAGAAGCATGGAAACTGATCTAACTGCGAAAAGCAACACTTTTACACGAGCAGCTTTTCTTAGCATTTTGCAATTGCAGCATCAAACTAGTTCACTTGTTGCTTCGCTTTTGACTGAACCAGATGAACGAACAGTCCTGACAACCAGCCAGCAGTTCCCGGAGGATGTAGAGTTTTATTTTTTATTTTTTAATTTTTGGTAGGCTGGTGTTAAAGGAAATATTGTGGCTATGTTGAGAATTAGGATACTGGTTCTTTCTTCCGAGATGATCCTGCGTTTTTAGTGTCCCTGTCCTTCGTTCCCGTGCGAATTCCAGAGATTATGTGCCTTGCAGCGAAAATAACGAAAGAAATTGCACAATCAGAGATAGACTGACAAAGAAGGCTTAATGTCACGTTTTGTCATTTTTCACAAGGTTAAAAAGGTCCGGAACGCTCCAGAACCCTCCAGAAGGCTCCCAGCTAACCTTAAGAGTGCTAGATAGTGCAAGAACATTCTAGAGAAGCCTACACAACTCTTGCCTCAATATTTTAATATTGTCTCTAGATTCTTCCATTAAAATATCTAGATATTTGTTAAGAGAATTCTAGAGAATCAATTGTAACCGTACGATAGATTTAATCTCCACCGTCCATTAAGGAGGTGGGAACATTCTAGATCCAAGGGGAGGCCTATAAATACCTCACCCCTCCTCATTTGTAAATCATCCTTGAGTTCTCAAAGCTATAGAACTCTCACATTCTCTCTCTACTCTCCTTTGCCTTCAAGCTTTCCCTTTCCTCTTCTTAGCCAAGCATCCTCCTTTCATACGAGTTAGGCTTACTTAGCAACTTCCAGTGAAGGTTGTCTAAGTGCCGCACGGGTCGAAAGACTAGCCCCGTGACAGTTGGTATCAGAGCTCGGTTCTACCGTTGTGCTTGAAGGAAGGTATTGTACGATGGCAACTGAGGAAGGAAACGTCGTTGGCACGGAAGCACAGGAGCAAGCTCATGCACAACAGGAGCAAGCTCACCCCAGGTCCAAGCGAGAGCGAGGCCGGAGCAGGGCACCCGCAGGTGAGTCCCTTGAACCTCGTGTTGGTAGCTTGGAATCTAACATGGAGGAAGTGAGAACTACTATAGGGGGACTCAACGATCAACTCAACAATCTCCTCCAAGAGAATGCTGAGATAACACGGGCTGCCAAGTTGATGATTGCAGACCTTAACGATGATTTAGGGGAAGACATTCGTTCCCTCAGACGTGATCTCGCCGATCTCCGCAAATATGTAAGAGATGAGGTACGAGGTCTACGCTCTCAAATGGATGAGATTCGTCATGAATGGGATTCTCATCACTGTGTGAGTAGCCCTATTAGTGGTAGTACTTCAAACGCCACTTCTCAGGGTTTGAAAGTGCCCAAGCCGGCCATGTACAATGGGACTCGTAGTGCTACAATTGTGGAGAATTTTCTCTTTGGCCTAGAACAGTACTTCGAGGCCATGGGAGTCTCTAACGACTCAATCAGAATCAACAATGCTTCAACTTTTCTCCGGGATGCAGCCCAACTATGGTGGCGCAGAAAGCATGCCGAACGAGAAAAGGGCCTTTGCACTCTCAACACATGGGAGTTGTTCAAGTCAGAACTCCGCAAGCACTTTGTTCCCCACAATGCTGAGACAGAGGCTCGAGGTAAGCTTCGTAGATTGAGACAAACTAGTAGTATTCCTGACTACATTAAAGAGTTTACTACCATTATGCTCGAGATTGAGGACTTGTCCGACAAGGAGGCTCTTTTCTACTTCATGGACGGACTTAAAGACTGGGCGAGAGTAGAACTCGATAGACGTAAAGTGCAAACTCTAGATGAGGCAATTGCTGCTGCTGAGTCTATAATCGACTACTCCACCAAGTCCAAAAAGCCTAATCCTGGTAGCAGTGGAGGAGACAAAGGAGGACAAAAGAAGAATTTCGATCGTAAGGATGGTGGTAGATTCTTTGGTGGGAGTTCTAGACAGGATAAACCACCCTCAATCAGGCGTGATGCCTCAAAGCCACCGAGGCCATGCTTCTTGTGCGATGGTCCACACTGGACTCGGGACTGCCCCAACCGCAAGGCTATGAATGCCTTGGTTGCTGAAATGAAGGATAACCGGGACAAGGAGCAACAGATCGACCTTGGTTCCCTCCAACATTTGAATTCCTTGACTGGGCTCTTTTCTCCATCAAGAAGGAAGAGAAGGGTCTACTTTATGCTGATCTTGCTATTCAGGGCAAGTTCGCCTCTGCCATGCTCGACACAGGAGCATCCCACAACTTCATGGAGGCTGAAGAAGCTAAGAGATTGGGTATCCAACTCAACAAGGGAGAAGGCACCATCAAGGCAGTGAACTCCCCAGCCAAACAAGTCCTTGGGATTGCCAAGGATGTGAAGGTGAAGATTGGGGACTGGCAAGGTACGTTAGACTTTACTGTTGTCCCTATGGATGATTTCAAAGTTGTATTGGGACTTGCTTTCTTCTGCAAAGCACATGCCTTCCCGATTCCTGAAGCCAAGTCTATGGTGGTCATTGACTCTAACATGATCCGGGTAATCCCCTTGAAACGCTTGGAGAAATCTAACCCTATGATTTCTGCCTTGCAATTCAAGAGGGGTCTCAAGAACTCAGAGGGGTATATTGCCACTATACGTTCATTGGCCGAGGAAGGGGATGACCCAACCAAACCACGGGAAACCTTGCCACCTTGCATCCAAGAGGTGCTACAGGAATACAAGCACGTCATGCCCGATGAGTTGCCCAAGAAACTACCTCCCAGAAGAGAGGTAGACCATCAGATCGAGTTGGAGCCTGGTGCCAAACCACCTGCCTTGGCACCTTACCGCATGTCACCTCCAGAACTTGAAGAGTTAAGGAGACAACTGCAAGATCTCCTTGATTCAGGATACATTCAACCATCTAAGGCCCCATATGGTGCTCCAGTCCTTTTCCACAAAAAGAAGGATGGATCGTTGCGAATGTGCATCGACTACAGGGCCTTGAACAAGATTACCATCAAGAATAAGTACCCGATACCTTTGATCGCCGACTTGTTCGATCAGCTTGGAAAAGCCAGGTACTTCTCTAAGCTTGATCTCCGATCCGGGTACTATCAAGTACGCATCGCCGCAGGTGATGAACCGAAGACAACCTGCGTGACGAGATATGGAGCATTTGAGTTCCTTGTCATGCCTTTTGGACTGACGAACGCCCCGGCAACGTTCTGCACGCTCATGAACAAGTTGTTCCACCCTTACTTGGACCAGTTCGTGGTGGTATACTTGGATGACATCGTAGTATATAGCAACACTCTTGAAGAGCATGCTCAACACTTGAAGAAAGTCTTCCAGGTACTCTCTGATCATGAACTTTACATTAAGCTGGAAAAATGTTCTTTTGGTAAACAAGAGGTGGACTTCTTGGGGCACAAGATCAAGGATGGAAAGCTCATAATGGACCCAACTAAGGTTCGAGCCATCCAAGAATGGCAGCCTCCTACCAAGGTCCCAGAGTTAAGATCATTCCTTGGTCTGGTGAACTACTATCGGCGGTTCATCAAGGGGTATTCAACTATCACTGCTCCATTAACAGATTTGCTTAAGAAGAACAAATCTTGGCATTGGTCACAAGATTGCCAGGATGCCTTCAACAAGCTGAAGCAGATGGTCGCGCAAGAACCTGTTATGTCCTTGCCCGACTACTCCAAGCCATTTGAAGTACACACTGATGCCTCAGACTTTGCAATAGGGGGCGTGTTAATGCAAGAAAGACACCCTATTGCGTACGAGAGCCGCAAACTCAATGACACAGAGAGGCGCTACACGGTGCAAGAAAAAGAGATGTCTGCCATTATCCATTGTCTACGAACCTGGCGTCATTACTTACTTGGGAGTAAGTTCACTATTATGACAGATAATGTTGCTACGAGCTACTTCCAAACACAAAAGAAGCTCAGCCCGAAGCAAGCTCGCTGGCAAGATTTTCTTGCTGAGTTTGATTATCGGTTGGAATACAAGCCAGGCAAAGCAAACGTAGTGGCGGATGCCTTAAGCCGGAAAGCCGAGTTAGCCACTCTCTCAGCAAGCATGCCCCAGAATGACTTCCTTGAACGAATCAAGGAAGGTATGTCTCAGGACTCATCTGCAAGCAACTTAGTAAAGCTTGCTACTGAAGGCAAGACTCGAAGATTTTGGGTGAATGATGGAATACTCTACACCATTGGGAACCGAGTCTATGTGCCGAAATGGGGCAACCTTCGAAGGGATGTCCTAAAAGAGTGCCATGATTCCATGTGGGCCGGACATCCAGGTATGGCACGAACACTTGCTCTCGTACAAAATCATTTCTATTGGCCACATATGCAAGATGATGTTGAAGCATATGTGAGAACTTGCTTAGTGTGCCAGCAAGATAAGGTTGAACAACAACATCCTGCTGGTCTGCTCGAACCTTTGCCAGTGGCTGAGAGACCATGGGAGAGTGTCTCCATGGACTTCATAGTTGCTCTCCCTAAGTCTGAAGGATGTGGGAGTATCATGGTGGTGGTTGATAGATTCAGCAAATATGCCACCTTTATACCAGCCCCAGCAGATTGCAAGGTCGATGAAGCGGCACGCTTATTTTTCAAGCATGTCGTGAAACTATGGGGGATCCCTCGCAACATCGTCAGTGATCGAGATCCCCGATTCACCGGGAAATTCTGGAGAGAACTTTTCAAGCTCTTGGGGACAGACTTGAACTTCTCAACAAGCTTTCACCCTCAGAGCGATGGACAAATGGAGCGAATCAACGCTTTGTTAGAGCTCTACCTTCGCCACTATGTGAGCGCTCATCAACGAGATTGGGCTAAGTTGCTCGATGTGGCCCAATTCTCTTACAACTTGCAGCGAAGTGAGTCGACAGGTAAGAGCCCTTTTGAGATAGTTACCGGACAACAACCTCTAACCCCCAACGCACTTGCCACTCCATACAAGGGAGACAATCCAGCTGCCTATAAGTTTACTAAGGAATGGCAAGAAGAAGCCGACATTACTCGTGCATGCCTGGATAAAGCTTCCCGAAAAATGAAGAAGTGGGCAGACAAGAAGCGGCGCCCCATTGAATTTCAAGTAGGTGACTTGGTCATGGTTAAGTTATTGCCAAATCAATTCAAGTCACTACGCAAAGTCCACAAAGGCTTGGTCAGGAGATATGAAGGCCCTTTCCCTATCATCAAACGTGTGGGAAAGGTTGCGTACCAGGTACAACTCC